CGGCTTCTCCTCGAGCGTGGGGCAGAGGTGAATGCGAAGGGTGGCCGTTTCGACAATGCACTACAAGCAGCTGCTTATCACGGACACGAATCTGTTGTGCAGCTTCTCATCACACATGGGGCGGATCCCGATGCTGTGGTTTCGGCGGTTGGTAAAAACCGCGTAGTTAGCTAGGAGCCTTCCAATTGTTCCGCCACCCGATCATTCCAGTCTTAAATCGGCCACCTATTTTTGCAGTTTCTGCCCTACTCATCCCGAGTTTCCTCGCTCCCCTATTGCCCGTATTCTACATAACCACCAGAAAAACAATATACCCTACTCCTACCCACACACCGCATTCTGGGAAATCTGCCGATACAAGCCTACCACCATACTCGATTAATCACACTGAACAAACTACTCATTTCTGGAGTCCCGTCTAACCTCCCACCACCACCTAACCTAGAAGGCTTCTGCGGCTTACTCCTAAAATTCAAATCATTCTACCATGGGTTCACTTCAACATTCAAGCACAGCTGTATCTGCAAATCTCCCTTCACATCCGTCCCCTCTAAAACTATTCTCCCTAGATTTCATGTATCCTGGACCTAGTCCAAAACCTCAAACACAGTCCCTCGTTTCATTTTACAGAAGTTGTCCGCGCACATTGAATGTCCTAATTTAACTTATCATTCTAATTGAGTCTTTTTCAAGCCAACTCCTTTATTCTTAGTGTTACCAGTTTTGTGATAGAGATTGGAAACATCGTTGATTGTATGCTATCGAGTTTGGGGATTTATCTATACTTATTATCCATTTTTTCATTTTCCTATCTATCTTTTTTTCTCTCCCTTTTGTGCTTTCTCCAAGTGGAATAAGGTCGCGGTCGTGGGCTCGCTGCAGTCTGTTATGATGAAGGAAAGAGTGTCTTCTTCGTTCTTAGCAGATGGATGTTTCATGGTCTTATTTTCTCTCCTCTTAGTTTTGCTTATCCTCCACGTGTATCACTCTACCGATGCCCAACCAATACATTAGCCGTTGGAGCTAGCCCCGACAATACAACAGTGCGTAGAATTTTTCATTGTGGTACAGTGCAAAGCTTCCTTCATGTCAAATTTGACAACGTGTATGAATTGATCTTGAGAAAACCTCGTAGTTGGTCAACCAGGATTCAAAATGAGTAGACCCGACCTGACCTAAGGCGCCAGAAGCTCAGCCCAGCGGGACCGAATCTAAGGAACCACAACGTGGGCTAACCACGCGGCTCATTTCGTTTGCATGCGGAACGAACTGGGTGAACTCGATATGTGACGGGATAAAGTGAGTTGTATGGAGGATAGCGGCCCCGTTTTGTCTCCTGGATAGTACAGAAGCAAGGAGGATTGGCACCCGATCGGCAGCTTAGGAGTGAGTAGAGGGGGGTGAATAGAGGAAGTTTAATCTCGTTTTGATCCTGGAAATTCCATCTATAGCACCCCTCAATAACCTCCTTCCTTACCTGCCGGTCTTCAATAGAATTTTGAATTGAGTATAGGGACTGCATCTTGAGCCCCGATTCCGACAATTGCCCCTCATTAGCGTAATAAACCTGTTTTGGACGAGCTGCGGGGGTTTCAGTGCAGAGGACCTAGGGCTCTTTCGTGAGCATCATATAAGCTATCTGTGCCTATCAAGCATATGGGTGCTGTTTTGAGAAAATGACCACTTGAGTTTTTTTTGTTTTGAGTTAGAACTAAATTTAGTTTGCATGTCAATCAAACCAGCTTTGAGAAAAAGAGAAAGATAGGTCTAATATTGCTCCAAATTTAAATTCAAATATATTTCAAAGAGCTCAGAGCCTTCTCTATCAGCCACAAAATTCTGAAAATTATATAACCTGATTTGTGGCAACCGGAAAGTGTGATCATTTTCCCAAAACAGCACCCATATAAGGTTGAAGGCTTAGTAATTGTAATTTGATTGTATTCTCGATTAAAGACTTAGGGGGACAGACCACAGCCGGTATGCACCAGAAGACTTGGGCCGTCCCCATGGTTGCGGAACGAGATTCCCCCGCCTTCAGTCCCCAGCTGGGTCCGCGTTCATGATAATAAAAGGTTTGGGTTCAACCCATGCACTCTGTCTAATAGGGGTCCGGGGGACCCACATAGTCAGATTCATGAAGAGGGAAACCCGGAAGTGAGTTTCAGGCTGGTAGGCTTCGCGGCGGGCTTGAGGAAGCACATGCCCGTCAGAGAAAAAGATCACAGCTGCTGTTGATCAATCGGATTGCTGGAGAGTTGATCTCATCATTCATTTATCCTACCATCCGTGACCAGGAACGGAGCCAGCAGCGGTTCAAGAATGAAAGAAAACTGGAATTCTAGAGTGCCAGCCTGCCAGGTGGAAGGAAATTTGTTTTAGGCTAGTTTTTAGATATTGAGCTTTGGAAAGACTAGGAGAAAGCAAGAGAGCTAATCCGTGGTAAAGTAGCTCCTACCCGATGGCCTTCCTGATGAGCAAGCAATCACTTACCTTGTTGCCGACTTTCAAGGCACGGTAGCGCTGGTAGGTCTTGGCCCACAAGGGTACGTGTTTTTCCGGTGGGTGGTGGGCTGTCCTGAAGAGTCCTCAGAAAATCTCGTTTCTGTCATGGCCATGCTAATAGGTACTTTAAGGGGGTGTTGGGCTGAGAATGCACAAACCAAGTAACACTCAGCATGGCCATGATCGGAGCCTCATCCTCTGTGCACATTTAATCACAATCGCCCTAGTAGGCTAGTACTTAGTAGTCTAGACAAGGGCTGAAGGTCTGTCTAGTGTACCACTACTGTTGGTAACCACCTCCGGTAAGCGGTAGAATAGCGCCTGCCGTGATTACGAGGTAAGGGATGAGTGACTCCTCATAATGGACATCAGTGATAAGATAATTCATTTACTGTTTCCATCGGGGGGGTGGTTCCCAACGTAGCATTAAAGAACCTGCTTCAAGTCAATCGTAGCGGTGTGAGGATCTTGGACACACTAACTGATATCTCTGTCGGTGGCCAATGCGGATGCTAGTGATTTTAGTGTGCGGTGGTTAGGGCGCCACTTCTTTGCATAGGGCGCAAGGTCGGTCTTGCCTGGATGAAGTAGGGTGTGGGCTCAACTGTTAGAAATGAGGAAAGTGTTGGTGGGAGGAAACGAGAAAATCTAGACCTAGGACTACGCCAAGGGGTTGCACAACTGGGGATGCTCTGCTGCGTCGTGTTGCCTTTTCTTCCGAGGAACAAAAAGTTCCGGAGATGCAATTCCTTTCTTCTTCTTTAAGCACCAAATAACAAATCGAACAAACATCTTCTCTTTCTCTGTGTGACCTTTAGTTTAACATCAACTAGTCTAGTAGACCCTCCACTAGCGGTGGTGCGTTTCCTACGGTGATTGCTGTCACAATTAGCGCGATTGTGCATACCTAAGCGAACCGAAAGGTATATTCTCGAGTGGATGAAAGCTGATGGGAATGGTGTAATTTAGAGCGGGTTCTCGGGAGTGCCCCGTAAGCTTCCACACCAAAAGCAGTCTTGTAATATCAGTCATTCTAGATCTTTCCAATAAACTCCTTACTCCGGGCCCACCTGGTCAAGAGCTTTCGTCCTACGAGTACTTCATCCTGGTTTCTTTCCTTATCAAACCATAAAAACCGAGACATGAATTCCTCCTCCGATACTGGGAGTCTTCACTCTAGTCCTCCATCTTTCCTATTCCTAATTTCCAGGCTCACGAGTCCGACGGACTGAGGTTCAACAAACTCCACTCATTCCCGACTACTGATCTGCAGTATAAAGGGCTAAATCTCCCCGGTGCCTATGCCCTCGGAGCAAGAGCAAACCCCTGTAAATAGCTACAAAAGTGCTCACGGGCACTAATCAGGCACTACATTATCCCATATTATTGCTATTCCCCATCTTGTAGCCTGACAATCAGACAAA